TGAGTTCCCTCCTTGCCCAAGGTGGTGCCCCCCCCCCCACTACTGGTGTAGAGCTGGTGTGGCTGTCAGTGGGGTCTCTACATTTGGGAGGGGTGCTGCTTTCTCAGTCCTGAAGACCCTGAGCAAGGACTTGGAATCTGTTCCCAGGGGAGTTTGTGAGATGGTTGTCAGGGATCAGCCGGGATGTGTGTCYGCCGTAGCTATGGTTGGTGGTCAGCAGAGGATTCAGGGGATTTTGCTCTGGGTTCTGCTYCCTGGCCCCTGAGGTGAGACTCACAGCAGGATTGTGTGAGAGTCCCAGCTCCGGGGAGCTCTCTTATCCCTTCCCAGATGTGGGCCTCACAGAGGGACTTCCTAGATAAGCTCTGTTTCTCTTGCTTTCTGGACTGAAGTAAGCAGGCCTTACCAGGGACTGCCTCTGGGGGGCTGAGAGAGGCCCACCTGCCCTTCTGGTGAAGGCGCCATCTCCCCACCAGAATCTAGTGAGTATGTCTTACATGGGCAATGTGATCCACCAGGAGAGCCCATGATCCTASCAGAAGTCCCCAAAGCTGTTTTCCCTTCACGGTGTCACTCCCYACCTGCCTGTCTACCAGATTATTGAGCTGATGCCCCTGGAAACCRGGCAAGGCCCTTGTGCCCTGATGCCAGTCCCTGCAATTACAGGTTGGCAGGCYTCAGGCTGAGCGTGCCAGCCCGYGCAACAGCTTGCTGGMGGCCAGTCGATGCCCTGGGGCCTGTGTTCTGACTGGTCCTTAAGAGGGGAGGATCYAGTCTCAGGTCTGTCCCACACACCATGAGTTCATGGGGGACACTGTCCAACTCCCTTTCCATCAGGGGCCTAGAATCCATTCTTTGCAGTTCAGAGGTCAGTTACTGCCCAGTTGGAAGCCTGAGATGGACCAAGGTTGAAGACACTGGCTCTCCACCTCCCAGGGCTGACTCTTCTCCGGGACAAGTGCTCTATTTTCCCTCCATGCTCCCTCCGCATGCCTGCCTTTGTGTGCAGACSTGCATGCTGTGAACTGTGTGCGGGTGAAGGTATTGATGTGTGTATGATCGTGTGCATGACTGTGCATGAGTGTGAGGTCATGAGCATGGTTTTACATGCCTTGCTATCTATGCCTCTCATGAAACCACAACTATTCATGGGAACATGTGAGGGGCTGTTTTTTTTGCAAATGCACCCAGCAAGCCTGTGTACTTTAATTTTAGTATTTAATAACATCACTGCCTGATTTATGCCCTTGTTGTGTACCTGGGTATGTGTGTGTGTTTGAAACCAGGTCTCCCTTTGTTGCCCAGACTGGTAATGAACTCCTGGGCTCAAGTGATCCTCCTGCCTCAGCTTCCTGAAAAGCTGAGAGTATAGCGTAGGCCACCATGCCTGACACCATACATTCTGATATTTTATTTTGTGGTACTGGGGGTTGAACCCAGGGATGCTCTACCACTGAATTATATCCCCAGTCCTCTTTTATTTTTTATTTTGAGGCCAGGTCCCGCTAAGTTGCTTAGGGTCTTGCTGAGTTGCTGCGGCTGGCCTCGAACTTGTGATCCTCCTACCTCAGTCCCTCCCAAGTAACTAGGATTACATGCATGTACCATTGCACCTGGCCTCAGTCCTTTTTTAATTTTTTATTTTGAGACAGGATCTCACTAAGTTGCCCAGGCTGGCTTTGAACTTGTGATCCTCTTACCTCAGAYTCCTGAGTAGCTGAGATTATTGATATTTTAACTGTCATCCCTGCTACCTGCATACATGCGTACCCGTGGTGGGTGAGTTTTGTGCCTATCTCCCAGGTTATGGGTGTTGGTGTGTGTGCAGATGTAAGTGGACATGTGTGCTGAAACTTGTGTGCATATGTCCGAGGCCTTGCATATACTTGCAAGTGTCAGTGAATGCTTGTGTCCATGCGTATGTGTGAGTCCGTGCACAGCCTCTCTGGTGGGGAATGACTAAGGCCAGAGATATTCGTCATCGCTGACCCAGCTGGAGGGGGAAATCCTCTGAATCTAGACGGGCAAAGGCCAGGGACTCAGGCTCAGCCTGTTTCTCAGGCCCCAGRCTGTGTTCCCAGGCCCTATTGCCCAGGGGGGACTAAGTCAGGGTACAGGGGAGCCACACAGGCTCGGAGGAGATGAAAGCAGAGTCAGATTTCCCTTTTGGAAGTCCCCTCCAGGGCTGGTGTCTGGAGGGATGGTGGGGTCTGGGAAACCACGCCTAGGCCAGGCCAGCAGCAGTGGCTGGAGGAGGGGGCAGGTTCAAGGCACATCTAGGATGTAGAATGGCCAGGAGTCGGTGACTGCAGGGGTGGGAGGGGGAGTGAGGCACATAGGATTGCCCTGGCATCTGGCCTGGGCTCTCCCTGCCCATCCTGCCCCCTGTCCTCCTCCCCTGAGCTAGAGAAGTGTTTTAGAAGTTTGCTGGCATCCAGTCTGTGCGTGTGTYCTGGCTGGCTCAGCCATGCTGGGCAGGGTGGGTTGCGGGGAGTGGCAGTACAGGGAGAAAAACATGGGGGTCAGTGTGAAGTGCCCAAGTGTGGGATTGCCCAGGCCCTTTTTGACTGTTTGTTTTGTTTGTTAATTGAGGACCTCAAGCCTGAATCGGTCATGGAAGTCAGTGAACCAGGACCTGATTTGCACCCTGCCTGTAGAGACCACAGACATGTGCAGCGAGCCCACAGTGTCAGGAACACAGTCTGTTAGTGCCATAGGAGCCCGGCTAGGCCTCTGGGACCCCTGTCATCATTCAGCCAGGGAAACCAGGCCTGAGGGTCTCCCAGCAGTCAGGGTGGGGCTGGGGCACCAGACACCCCAGAGATCATACCCATTGGTTGCAGATCCCCTCCTCCAGCTAAGGTGGCCTGCCTCAGGAGCCTCTGTAATTACGGGATTAGAGAAGGCTGCCTCTCCCTGGCCGGCCCTTTGCCCCTCAAAGCCGCAGAGTGGAGCCGAGGATTTGGTGGCTTCGTGCCGGTTTCCAGGTGTGTCTGAAGAAACCTGGCATCCTTGTGCGGCTTGTTCAGCCTGAAAGGCCCCATTGTGGCTGCAGCCTCCCTCTGATCGGCTCTATTTTGGGGTCAGGATCCACCCTGCTCCAGCTGGAGGAAGGAAAAGGTGTATTTCAGTATGTCCTGTGGGTGTGGAGGGGACAGGGGAGGGACAGCCACCCAGCACGGGGAGGCTGGTGTCTGGCCTGTGTGGAGGGAGAGGTCACAGAGGTAGCCTGAGGCATGAGGAGAGAAGAGCTTTGGTGGCCCAGGTGGAGGTGGCCCCGATGACATTGCAGGGAGGGTGGGTGTGAGGTGGGCCAGGCTTTCATGTGGCCCCAGGAGGCAGGGTTGGCAGACCCTGTCAAGCTGGAATGCTGGCTGGAGGCCTGCCTGGGCCCCACCTGAGACCCGCCCTCCAGCCACTTCCTGATTCCCACCACTGTGGGTGCCCAGCCCATGTCCTAGGCCCAGAGGGAGACCCATTCTGCCCTCAAGGGCCTCCTGTTTTGGGTGCCAAGGGCCAGAGGCTGCAACCACAGACTCGGGTTAGACAGAAAGAACAGACAGACAGCTTGGCCTCCTCAGACTGTCTTCCCTCCCTGTGTCAGAACTCCGGCCCCACCCAGAGTGGTGGGCCCATTCCAGCTTCTTGCCTCCGCTCAGGCGGTTTCCCTGCCTGGCATGGTCTTGTAGCTCTTCTCAGCCCATCCTGATCCTGTCTGCCTCCTGGGACTCTGTTCAGGATTAATCTCCATCCCAGGGCTCCCTTCCTGCCTGATTTCCCGGTGGCCAGCTTTGCCAAACGCTGTGGCTACTGGAAGCCCCTCTGAGCAATTTTGTGCCAAATACCTCCTCATCCTACCTTACATGGACCTGACACAGGGGTGAGGGGGTCTTGGGGAAATGGCTGGACTCATGCTCTCAGGCTGGGGGTTTGGGTTCCTTGATCTGTGACGTGGGTGTAATCACATTGGCCTTATTAGGTTACTTGACCTGAGAGGTTAGATGGGTATCAAGGGTGGTGCATAGTAGGTATGCAGGCAGCGGTCCTTTATCCCTCTGCCCTTGTGCTCAAAGGCCCCAGAATGTCGGGTATTTTGAGTGTCTGAGCCTGGGCTGCCTGGGGCTCAGACCMGTGACTCCAGGAATGACTAATACCTCCCCAACAATGAGCTCTTGGGAACTATTAGAAATGAGATGGTTTCCCCCTCCCTTTTTCTTGCTGCTTCATTAAACTCTTCTTGAGTGAGGGGAATGAGGATTGTCCTAATCTCCTGGCACAAGGTGGGGGCAGGGTTCAGGGAGCTGCAGTGGCCTGTAGTCACCAGAAAACATTGGGAGCTGGACAGGGGGTGGATGCTGGACAGAGACTGGAAGCCTCATGCTGAAGGCTGCCTTTGCCCTGGGCCAGCCAGTGACCTCACCTAGGCCTTGACCTTGACTGAATTCAGTTCCACTGTCTGCACAATGGGTATGCAAGAACTTCCCTGAGCTGTACTAGGGTTCTGGGAAATGGATATCCTGGGAGCCACTGATGGGGTGCTGGGGGTCAGGCCAGCCAGTACACAGCTGGTGCCTTATCAGTGTCTGCAGGCCTTAGGAGGAAACAGAAAGTCTGAGCAGAACTTTTGACTTTCCTCTTCTTGGAGTCTTGTTTCCTCACTTTTGAAAGTGGCCTGGAAGTCCTGGATGCTTCCTCCTGGGGTCCCATGGGTGGCCCCAAGGGTTGGGTCCCAGAGGCCATCCGTTAGGGAGGGTTTGATTCTCAGACCTAGGGCCTGACACTCACCTGTGGGTCATGGTCCACCTGGGTCTGTCTTTTCACCCTTGAGGCTACCAGAACTGGAAAGATGGTTCCAGGCCTCACCCACCCCAGTCAGTCTTGGTAATGCCTTCCTCGGTGGAGCCTCCGWTTCTTTTCTTCACAGGTGGGAAGAGACACTGTAGGGACGCATTGGTGACTGAGGCTGGGGGAACTTCAACCAGGCCACCCTCTGTCYACAGGTGTTCCTGGCCCTGGGAGAGCTGCTTCTGTCTTGCAACTGGGCTGTGGTAGCTGACATCCTGCTGGTAGGTGACATTCCCTCTTGAGCTGGGGGAGCTGGTTTTTGGGCTCAGGGTTGGCCCTTTGTTGTTGAGCAGCCTAGGAGTTGGTAGGGGCTTCAGAGACCATGAGAGCTGGGGTGTGGGGGACCAAAACCACTATTCGGTTACCTCAGGCCCCAGGTCCCTGAACACTCTCACACATTTCCTCTGATTGTTACCCTCACTTTGCAGATGAGCAAATGGAAGCAGGTATAATTACATCGAGGGCTGCCAGGATTGGAGCCCAGGAGATATATATATATTGTAACAGAGATTAAACCCCCACTGGTATTTAACCACTGAGCCATGTCCCCAGCCCCCCCAAACAATTTTTTTTTTTAGTTGTAGATGGACAGAATGCCTTTATTTGTTTATTTTTATGTGGTGCTGAGGATGAAATCCAGTGCCTCACACATGCGAGGCAAGTASTCTACCACTGAGCTACAGCCCCAGCGCCCCCAGCCCTTTTAAAATGTTTTATTTAGAGACAGGGTCTCACTGAGTTGCTTTAGGACCTTGCTAAGTTGCTGAGGCTGGCTTTGAACTGGCGATCCTCCTGCCTCACCTCCAGAGCCACTGGGATTACAGGTGAGCCCAGGTTTTTCAACCAGCTTCCTCCTACCCTTTCTTTACCAAGCCACTCTCAGCAAGCCTGCACTCAGGGATGTGCAGATGGAGAGGCTAGACCCCAGGGCAGTAGTCACTGAGCCCAGTCATGTTCAGCCCACCCCCACTGGTATATTATGGGCTGTCACTCATGGAGATGGCCCAAGCTATAATGAGGTTTAACACCGTCCTGACCACATGACTCTGTAATGTCCAGAGTCCAGCTCAGTCCCTCCCCAGGCCACACACTGTCTATCCARTCTCTCTGCCTCTGGGACACAGACAGGGAAGGACTTTGAACACCTCGAAGGGCTGCGCCCTTGTTGATAACAGTCTCCCAGGCCTTGGGGGCACCCTGAGAACCTTCCTGCTGCCTCCTGGCAGGCTGGGCACAAGGAGCCAGGGCAGCCTGGCAACTGGCAGAGGGCTGTCCCTAGGCCTGCCTAGTGCAGGGCATGGGCCTAGACTCAGGAAACAGACGTGGGTTCTAACCCTGCTTTTGCCACTGGCTATGTGACTAGGCRCGTCACTTTGTGTCTSTGAGCCTCAGTTTCTTTTCATGTAAAATGGGAATGATAGTAGTACCTGCCTCATGGGTTGTTTTGAAGGTGAAGCGAGATTGTTCATGGGAACCCTTTTGCTGGTGCCTGGCACAGAGAACGCAGGCCAGAATTCTCACAGTGATTCTGAGGTTTCCACTGGCTCATCTTTTATTCTTCAAAGGAATCCTGGCATCCTAGACTCTGAGTTTGAAAGGGTTATGGGAATATGTAGTCCTTTACTTAGCCAGCAAAGCCTGCTTGAATACTAGTGTTGACAGGGTTCTCACTCCCTGCTGAGATGTTTYGCCCACTCCCCAGCAGCTCCTGTCAACAGCCCTGTGGACAGGGCTGCCCTGTCTTTGGCTCCCAGGAAGTGTAGCAGCTGTTGGGCTGATGGGTCTTCTCTGTCCCTCTCTCCAGATAGGAAACTTGGGCTCCAGCCACAGACCTGCTGAATGGCCCTGGGTCTCGGTTTCCGTGTCTATGAACAGAGGCAGTCATATCCCACAGGGTGGGGTGAGGGAGCCAGCCCGCTGCAGGGAAGTGCTCAGGACACAAGGGGGAGGTGGACACCCCGCCCCCAACCTCGCTTCTAATCTCTTGGGTGGTTCAAAGGGAGCTGAACAAGCCTCCCTGCGGCTTCCTCTGCTTGCCCCCCACTGCGCGGCTCCCTTTTCCACATGACAGCCCCACAGTTATGTGAAGACTGCACCTTGTCACCCGCCCGCCCGCCTGGTGTCTGCGTTTGCAGGAATGATTAACCTGGCACAGCCAGGCTCTGTAGAGAGCTAAGGGGCAGCGAGTGCGCATGAGGGGGAGTCCAGGGCCAGCTGTAGTTTGGCTGAACATGGTCTAACTCCCAGGATCCCTGATCCCTRCCACCCCAGGGCATGCATCTTGCACTCTTTCCCTCTCCTTGGGACCCTGTGGCCAAGGACCACCTTCCTGCACTTTGCTGCTGGGAGCTAGACCAATTCTTGCAGCCCCCAGAGTTGAGCTCCCCCGCTCAGGATGGTCTGTGCAGGCAGCGGGCAGCTCTGGGAACCTCATGTGTGCAGTGGAAGGGCACAGGTTGACCAGGGAGGAGAGGGAGGACAGTGCCTGGACATGGCACAAGGTCCCAGGAAGTTAGTCTTTCACAGGCAGGCAGAGCAGCCTCCAGGGGACAGGGGGAGAACACCTGGAGAGGGGAAGTCTTGTGTGTGGGGGTGGAGGGTGAGAAAGGTGTGGGGTCCAGGGCAGGGGCAGGAGGTGTGTGGGGAAAGGCGTATGGCAGGAGGTAAACGAAGGCCATGTCAGTCTCCTCCCTAAGATGGGAAGTGAGCTTCTCTTTGGACAGAGCCCCAGGGAGCCTGGAGGCCCCAGGGTGTGTGTGTGCATGGGGTGCAGAAGGAGAAGGTGAGGTGCTGAGGAGAAGGAGTGATTCAGATGCATAGCTCTGGGTTGGAGAGGGAGCCCCAAGGGCTAAGGGGGAAACAGGGGTGGAGAGACTGTGGGTTTCTGGAGGGTAGGCGCCTATGGGAAGGTCAGAGGGGAGAGGACAGCAGAGCCCTGGCTTGAGGACTCTGAATCATTTCATTTGCTTCCACTTCCAGCCTTGCCACCAGCTTTGTGACCTTGGCCAAGTGGCTTAACTTTTCTGGGTCTTGTTTTGCTCAATTGTACAATAGGCAGAGTGGTGCTCCTTGCTAATGACACTCAGGCTATAAGGAGGAAATGAGCTGAGGCCTGCATCACCCATACCTACTCCTGAGGGCTGGTGTGGGCCCCAGCTGCTCTTTTTGATCCCTAATCCACAAGGGGGAAAATCTTGTTTCTACTTGGAGAAGGGGCCTCTGGAACTTTCTGGTCCAGTGGCTCTCAAACTTCTTTTTTTTTTTTTTTTTTTTTTGAGAATTTTTTTAAAGAGAGAGAGAGAGAGAGAGGGAGAATTTTTTAATATTTATATTTTAGTTATGGTGGACACAACATCTTTGTTTGTATATGGTGCTGAGGATCGAACCTGGGCTGCACGCAGGCCAGGCGAGCACGCTACTGCTTGAGCCACATCCCCAGCCCTCAAACTTCATTAAGCCTAAGAATCAGGTCTGGGGGAGTCTGTTACTAACTCCAGGCCCTCTGTTCTAGGAGTCTGATTCAGTGACTCCATGGCGGGTCCAGGGACCACCATTTCTAATGAACTTCCTGAGTGACCCCCCATCCTGGGTTCCTCAGAGTACACCCGCAGGGTGCTGATCTAGCGCACACAGTTCTCCAGTCAAAATTTGCAAAATTTGCAAAATTCCCACCAGCCCCCTGTTCACAGGCCCCTCAAAGGGGAGCTTACTTTCTGCACCCTGAGCAGCCCCTCCCCAMCCCCGCCTCCTCTGGGCCTTTGCATTTATGAAAACTGATGCAATTCAGTCGTAGCCAAGGACCACCTCTGGCAACTCCTGCTGGCCCAGCTGGATCTCCAAGGGTCTTGATCCCAGGAAGGCTGAGCTAGTGCCAAGTGTCTCTTGAGCCTGTGTCTCCCCCGGGCTGAGCTCTCTGTCTCCCCAAGCCTGCTCATGGAGTCTCCAGCCCCCTCCAAGCTTACATTTTATCTGGGCCCCCGTCAGGATGGCTTACAGCCAGCTCACCCTGCCTYCCAGGGTGGGGAGCAGGGCAGAGGGGGAGCTCACTTCCTCCTTCCCGGGTGGGGTTCTGGAATCCAAGAGCCWGGCTCCCCTTTGACCTCCTGAGCAGATTGCCTCTCAAAGGTGACCGCCCTCCCTCCTGCCCTTCTGCCCCCCATTTCAAGGCTTCCCTGCTTGCCTCTGCCCTTTAGGTAGCTCTCTGCTCACAGATCTGTCTCACTCTCCCAGGGGTGTCTGCGCCTGAGGGCCTAGTGGGGAGCACAGGAGGCAGGCTGCATCTGGTGGTAGTGGATCCAACTTTCCTGGAGCCCCTGGCTGGAGCTGATTTTGCCCTGGGCTATAAAGGGAACAGCTTTTCTGAGAAGGGCCAGACGACAAACACAGGTGTTTTTTTTTTGTCTCAGAATAGAGTGAGCCTAGATTTTTGGGAACTGAAAAGCCTCTCATTTAAAAAATTACCTCTTGGGCTCTCCAGATGCTGCTGGGCCCAGCCCTGGGCCCAGGCTGTATGGGAACAATAGGGACCCAAAATAGGTGGGGTGGAGACCTGCCTCTCCCACTGCAGGCAAAGGTAGCTGGTCTGGGCCCTGCAGGTTGGGGTTCCTGGGAGGGAAGAAAGGGGCCAGGCTGCCTGAGCCTTATTCTGAGGGTCCAAGCAGCCTCAGCTCCAACATGGATCTTTCTGGACACTCAGAAAGGCCCTTCCTCTAGGAAGCCCTGCCTCCCTCCTTAGAACCATTGGGTGAGTAATCACATAATTATGGGGTGAGAGGGAAGTTCTGTGGAAGGTGCAAAGCTGTGGTCAGTTYCTTCTCAAGCCTGCTGGCAGGTCCCGGAGATGGCAAGGGGCCCAGCTTGTCTCACCACCTGAATGGAGTGGCTCAGTGCCAGTGACCCCTGGACTGGCTCACCACCCACAGGGACACCTGTCACTCCACCCTGCCCACCCACAAGGCCTCTTTCCACTAGACCCCCTGCRTCTGTCCTCTGGGGTTCTGGAATCCAGAGACTGTGCCTCTGGGCTCCGAGCTCCATGCTTTACCTGCCACTGTCCCTGCCTGGGGGGGCCTTGGCCTATCTCTCTTCCAGGTATTGATTCCCTTCCTGCTGATTTGCAGGGCTACTGATGGACTTGTCCTCTTTATCTTTCTTTTCACTTTCTAAACATTCCATAAATATTGCTCAGCATGCAGATTCCTCCTTGCCCCTAATGGCAGGGTTGTCAAAAGACCAGGCCCTGGAGGGAGAAGGCCTGGGATCTAATCTCAGCCTTCTTATACCTGGTTGGGTGACCCTGGGCACCTGGGGAGATTTTCTCATCTATAAAATGCAGGTAATAATCATATCTCCCTCAGGGGTCATTCAAGTTGCTATATAAAATGCATACAGGAAGTATTCAATAAATGTTAGCAATTATTATTATTATTATATTTTTTTGTGGTATGGGTGTGTGTATATGTTTAACACAGGGGCACTCTATCACTGAGCTACACCCCTCGCCCTTTTAATTTTTAAATTTTTATTGAGGGTACCAGGGATTGAACTCAGGGGCACTCAACCACTGAACCACATCCCCAGCCCTATTTTGTATTTTATTTAGAGACGGGGTCTCACTGAGTTGCTTAGAGCCTCACCATTGCCGAGGCTGACTTTGAATTTGTGATCCTCCTGCCTCAGCCTCCCGAGCTTCTGGGATTTTAAAGGCATGCACCACCACGCCTGGCTCTTATTTTTTTATTTTTTTGAGACAGAGTCTCACAAAGTCGCTGAAGCTGGCCTCAAACTTGCCATCCTTCTGCCTCAGCCAATTCACTGGGGTTCCAGGCATGAGTCACTGCACGGGGCTATCCTTGTTGCTATTCTCTGAAGGGCTCAGATTAGGGACACTAAAGTCCTGGGGACAAGGCTCCAGGATAGGAACTTTCCCTGAGGCTGCCCTAGTGGGCTGAAGCCCTAGGTCTGATAGGGTTTCTTCTGGGACCAGTCTTCCAGAAGGTTCTAAACTTATTTGTTTGACAAACTTTCACTGGTCTACTCTGGGCCTCATGTCTTACTGTACTGATGCCAGGAGAAATTAGAGGCTTTGCTGCCTACAGTGTAAGGGATAAGGGGAGGTGAATAAAGAAAGGACCCCTCCCAGCCCTGGGTGGCGTGCGTTCACTTAGGGGTGTGATGTTGGCTGTGGTTGATCTGAGAAGGCACCTGAACTCTGAGAAGGCTTCACACAGGTGATGCAAAGGTTAAGTCCTAAATGATGAAGAGAGATGCTCCAACTGGACCAGAGACGGGGAGGCACGCCAGGAAGAAAGCACAGCATTTACCAAAGCATTCTGCTTATAGGGCAGGGGTCCACATGACAACTCTGGGTGCCAGCTGAGTAATGATAGTGAATGCAACCTTTGAGGTAGTTTCTATTATTATTCCATTTGGAGAGCGAGGCACAGAAAGATGTAGTGACTTGTGCCAAGTCACACAGCTAGTGGATGAGAGATTCAGGACTGAAACCCAGACAGGTTGATTTCCAGAATTCATATTCTTAACTTCCTTGCCCTCTTCCCCAGAGTCGTGTGGGCCTCCCCAACATGGCTTCTCTTGGTTTCTGCACAGTGGGGCTTGAGTTCCACCCTTGCCCTAACTGCCTGCACATGCAGACCCCTGGCTGTGCACCCTGCCAGCCTGCACTAGTGCCTCATGGTCCCTGACCTGTCACACCCCAGCGTCCTCACTGCTGTCACAACCAGGCCTTGTCCCTGTGTACTTCTGCTAAGCTTGAGATCGGGACCCCCAAAAGACCACCAGAGACCAAGATCAATGTAAGCAGCAAAGAGGTGTATATTGCGAGCTAGCTCAGTCCTCTGCGCGCTCACAAAGCAACTGGTGATGCTGAGAGGTCCCAAGCCCAGGGTTTGCAGCAGTTTTATACACTCTTTGGGGAAGGCAGGGACTTCACATACATCGTAGGCTCTCTTAGCAAATCATCACACACCGTGGGAAAATCATAAAACAACTCTAAAACATGATTAGCACATTCACTGGCGGGAACAAGTTGGGTAGGGGTCTATTGGTTAGTACCAGAGAGGGATTCGTTTGAACTGATTGGTTTAAGCCACGAGGGGAGTACAAGCTGAACTACATGGTTTCCCAACATGTTATCAACCACCATAAACTACTGGGAGGGTCATCTGGCATCCCAGGTATTTCCCTGTCTCATGCTGATTGGTGGCTGCTAGGGGGTTGCTATGGGTCTCCACCTAACCTGACCGAGTCAGGGACACCTGGCTCCACAGATCTTTCCTGTTATTTGTAGATAAACAACTCAGCAGGGTGGGTCTGTGCCTAGGTGTGCTCTGTGGGTCTTTCCAAGGACAAGGGTCACGCCCCCTTCCTTGGACAGGCTTTGCTCTGAGGTAGGGGCTGGGTTTTTCACTTCAAGAGCAAACTCTCAAGAGGGGTGACCCTAATCAGGGGCCTCAGTACCCACATCCCTGGGCACTGGGGAAGGCTCCAGAGCCTCAGAGGGGTCTGCTGGGCCAGGGGGGGTGCTATAACCTTGGGGTCATTGATTCCCTCCCATCCCACTCCCCTGGCTAACTCTGCAGGCCCTTGGCAGGGGGGGAACAGGAAGTGGGTGTGAGGGGACCCCCCCATTCTGAGTCTTTGCTGGGGGAGCTCCTCTGATATTCCCATGTCTTGCAGTCTGTGGTGGTGCCCAGGTGCCGGGGGACAGCAGAGGCGCTTCAGATCACAGTGGGCCACATCCTGGGAGACKCGGGCAGCCCCTATCTCACTGGACTTGTAAGGCGTGTCTGAGTGTGGGGGGTGGGGAGGGTCTGGGGGAGGCTCCACACTTCCCTGGCAACAGCCCTCTGTCCTCTGCAGATCTCTAGTGCCCTGCGGGCCAGGCGCCTGGACTCCTATCTGCAGCGCTTCCTCAGCCTGCAGCAGAGCTTCCTGTGCTGTGCCTTTGTCATCGTCCTGGGTGGTGGCTGCTTCCTGCTAACGGCACTGCACCTGGAGAGAGACCAGGCCCAGGCCCAGGCGCAGGCCCAGGCCCAGCAGCCTGACACAGGTACTCCTGCCCTTGTACCCATGCTGGGCTCAGGGCTGAACACCTAGAGGCAAGGAGCAATGGCCCATCCTCAGACCCTGGCTGGCTTGTTTGCTTGTTTGTTTGTTTTCATTCAAAAATGTTTATTACACTCCTGCTATATGCCAGGCAAGCTTGCAGATGCTGGGGAGTGACCAAATTAGGCCAAGTCTAAGTAAGCCCTCAGGGAGCTGACACTCTATAAGGTATGGAGACAGATCAGAGACAAACAAAAAAGTGAGCGATGTAATATATTTGAGGTGATGAGTGCTATAACTAGACATAAAGTGGAGGTAGAGAGGGATGGGTGGGGGCAGGGAGCTCCTCTCTGCACAGGTGACATTGGAGCAAAGATTTGGAGGAAGCGATGGAGTAAGCCGCTCTCTGGTGGAAGGGGCTCCAGGCAGTGAGAACAGGGAATGCAAAGGCCCTGAGGTAGAAATGTACCCAATGTGTTGAGGGTCAACAAGGAGGTCAACGTGGCTGGAGCAGGAATAAGAGGCACAGTGATAAGGGCAGCAGTAACAAGACCAGGGCAGGCAGAGCGGGGGGGGGGGGGGGGGAATCCTGGCAAGGATTGTGTCCTTAATTCTGAATATGATGGGAGTCACTGTGGGGTTTCCACAGAAGGAGCCATAGGGGATCTGATTTCCATTGTGAAAGTATCACATTGCTGTTACTTGAGAACAGACTGTAGGGCTCAGAGTTGGGACAGAGGGACCCCAGGAAGTTCTGAAAGCAGCCAGTGGAGAAGTAGTGCTAAGACCACAGTAGTGGCACTGATGGCAATGCCATGGGGTTGGATCTGCAATTTACTTTGCAAATTAGAGCTAGAGGATTTCCTGACATGTTGTTTCCAGACCTGGTCCCAGAATCCTTTCTGCTTCCTTTTGGGTTGGCTGAGCTTCTCTCCTCCTGCAGGGACCCTGGACAGCAAGGACATGGAGAGCAAAGGCCTGCTTTCTGGCATCAGCACCTCCACAGAGGACCCCTGAGGCTCCTGCCCTGCAGCAAGGAGACCCCCTGCCATGTCCACGCTCCTCCCACTGGTCCCACAGTGGCAGTGCCTCTGCCCACTTTTGGCTGTGACTCAGGGACTCTGGCTGAGCTGCACCTGCTGCTTGTTCGCTCCCAGTAAGAGAGTTGGCAGGGCCCGTGACTGGGCTGGAAATTGAGCTGTCAACACCCTCTGAGGGAGGACTGTACCTGCACCCAGCACAAGGCCCTTCCAGCCGAGGGTCCTCAGCCTGGTTGTGGATGGACCCAATTAAAGTGTGACCGGTCCAAAGCCCATGGATATCAGGTCTTTAAACAATCCTGTTATTTATAGCCTCATGTTGCATGCCTCTGAAGGAAGGAGGAGGGAGAGAGGAAGGGGTGGGCAGTCCCTAGGCAAAGGGTACAGGGTGGTCCCTGAAGTGAGAACCACCTGGAGGGGTGCCCAAGCCTGCACAGAAACAGAAGCAGCTGCCCCAGAGCCACTTAGAGGGGCTTGCATGGCAGTGCACCAGTATTCTTGGCCGTGCCCTGTTCCCTTCTGCCACCCTCAGCTCACGCTCTGACCCCAGCACCACCTGGGGGGAGGGCCAGCTCTGTGGGACCCACACTTGCCACTGGGTTCAGAGCAGCTGGGCTCAGCGGGCCCTGCAAGAGATCAACAGCTTCCAGGTGGGCAGCAGTAGGGAGGCATGTTCTTTCTGCCCAGGAACCTGAGGTTCTGTCCCCTCCTCTGGAGCCCAGCCAGGCGATCACTTGCTCACTTGCTGATTGCCACCTCCACTGTGCCTACCTCCCAGCAGCTGTGGGCAGAACAGTGGCCCAACTCCCTCACAGCTCCTGACCCTTGTCTGCTCCATCCCTGCCTCCTGGGGAACCCTCCCCACCCTTCATTGGCTGTGACAGGTCCCAGGAACTGGACTCTCCAGATTAGCCTGCACCTGACCCCCAGGGTTAATCCTCCTCCCAGAGTGGGCATCACTAGACTGCCCAGCTCCTGGTTCTATGCCTTCACATGGGTGCTCAGGAAATAGGCTTCCCTGGAATTCCAAGGAAATGCACTTGTGAGGAAAACTGGTTTCTCCTGGGAAGGAGGCAGCCAGTGTGGGCTGGAGCTGGGACACCATGGGTCATCTCAGCTTTCACTGGCTGTGTGACTGGGGCTACCTCCTGTTTTTCTTGGAGCTATGGATTTCCCAGTGTATGCAAGAGGTGAATTGAATGTGGTTTTGCTAGAGCAGGCCTCATGTGATTCTCAGGCTGGGTCTAGACCCATGGAAGCCCGGCTCCTGGTCTGAATCTTCCACCTGCCAGGCCCCGGCTTCACTCAGCTCCCACCTCCTGCCTCCTTGGGGCTAGTCATAGTGGGCTGAGGTCTCAGGTCTGGGTCTGTGAGAGGCTGGGAGAGCCTGGCTAGAGTAGAGGAGTCTGGTAAACAGGAACATCTTCCAGGCCTAAAGAGCACTTGTTGGGTAATCCCAGTTGCTGATACTCTGGACTTGTTTACTGGGAATGTCAACAGGAGGGAAAATGCTGCTCAGCAGGACAAGTCCTTAAGCCTGACCCTGCTTACTTCATGTGTTAATGACTGCCAGGTGAGATCCTGGCTGCCCCTCTGCCTGTTTGCCTGCTAATCTCTATACTGGGCTGCAAGCATGAAGGGATGTTTATAAAGTACTGATAAAAGTTCTTTTTCCATTCTGACCTAAGGCTTGGGGATTGAGCGTGTGGGTCTAGATTCCTGTACCCTAACTCTGGCTTGTTCCCCTGCAACACCAGCCCTCAGTCTGTCTGGCTCATTTCTCTGAAGTGTGTGACATTCACCTATGCCAGGGTGGACTTGAGAGGTTATTGAGCTATAGAAGTCTCTGTAGAAGAGCAGGCAGGAGCCCGGCGGCGCTGTGGCACATACCTGTAATCTCGGTGGCTCGGGAGGCAGGAGGATTGCAAGTTCAAAGCAAGCTTCAGCAATTTAGCGAGGCCCTAAGCAACTTAGCAAAACCCTGTCTCTAAATAAAATATATCTATATGAAAGCGCTGAAGATGTGGCTCAGTGTTGAATGCCCCTGGGATCAATCCCTGGTACCCCCCCAAAAAAGCAGGCAGGAGGCAGCAGAGATGGCTGGAGCCATCCTTTCTCCTAACACAGGGAGGTACGTGGTGGTACCTGGGTGATCACATCAGTTTGGGATGTGGGGTTATATGCAACAGAAACAGGCTGACTTAAGTAGGGAAGGCATTCATTGGAAGCATATCAGGAGCTTACAGAATTGATGGGAATGTTAGCATTTCAGGGGTCGGGGTTCCTGGGCCGTTTTATTCTTTTTAAAAAATACTTGTTATTTTTCCTCCTTTTTATTGGTGCATTATAATTATACATAACAGTGGGATCCACTGCTGGGCCATCTTATTTGGGGGTCTTCTCCGGAGCTCCAGACATTTTTTCTTTTTCTTTTTTTTTTTTGCCATCTATTCAAGATTTAAAGCCCTGGGCCTAAGAGTCTAGTTGGACTAGCTAGGATGCTATGCCCACACCTTGATTTATCACTCCATTAAGACCAGGAGACCATAGTGCTGTTAAGAAGAGGAATGGGGCTGGAGATGTGGCTCAGCGGTAGCGCGCTCGCCTGGCATGCGTGCGGCCCGGGTTCGATCCTCAGCACCACATACCAACAATGATGTTGTGTCCGCCGAGAACTAAAAAAAAAATAAATAAATAAATATTAAAAATTCTCTCTCTCTCTCCCCTCTCTCACTCTCTCTAAAAAAAAAAAAAAAAAAAAAAAAAAAAAAAGAGGAATGAATGAATTCTAATCATCAAAACAAGACAGCAAGATTGGGGCTGGAGCTCTGTGGTAGCATATGTGAGGTTTCCATACCAAGCCCCAGGAAAACAAAAACAAACAAAAAAACAATGTAAGAAAAAAAGTGTCAAAAGCCCAAAACAAAGATAGTGTCCACTGCAATGATCTTGGCCAGGCCTTGGACCCTCCCTAGGATGTAGCTTCTCATGGGATGGTGAAGAGACTGGGTCCAATGTCCCTCAAGGGGTTCTTCATTTCTGATTGTCTGGGTCCATGATCAAAGGGGATTGAAATTTCTATAATTTAGAAAGTGTTAAAAATATTCAGATGACAGAACAGGAACTTCTGTGTTAGTGGGGACTCAGCGCCATCTGTTCTGAGCAGGCGAGAGAGAGGCAGCGATGAGGCATTCGGAACAAGACTTATGAGGCAAGCTCAGGCTGGGGGATGGGGTGCTCCAGTGAGTCCTCTGCTTGGTAACAGCAGGAACAGAGAAGAGGTGCCTTCTCCCCACCCGTGGGTGGTGACCTGTAGGGAAGGCTAATCTAAGAGTGGAGGTAAATGTCATGTGGCGACTAATGGAGGGTGGAGTCAGACAGGGAGAAAATGCCTTTTCTAGAGGGGTCAGGAAAGGAATCTGGCTGGTTTCTGAGTCACTCAGAGCAACAGATAACATGATACAAATCAACACACATTTCCTGCACCTGCTAAATGTCATTTACTCATTCAATCAACAAACATTCTCCAAGCACCTCCTCAGTGCTGGATCTTGAAGATGAATCAGACAAGGTATGGGCCCTCAAGGCTTATGGTTTGTCAGGGGGTGGTGGTACCCGTGGCCTCTTATGCAAACATAATCAGATGCACAAAACATAATCAGATGCACAGGTTACTCAAGAGCCCAGAGGAAATGACTTGGTTGTTCAGGTGGGTCAGGGAAGGCTTCCTGGAGGAAGCCATGTCTGTGTTGGGTTTCTGAAGGACCAGCGGGAGGAGGGAGCTAGGTAGACAGCTAGCCAGAGTCCTACTAAAGGGTTGGGGGAGGGGGTTGCATGTGTGACGCTCTCCATGGTCCTGAACCATCATTAGGTTAACAGGACCAGGGCTTTTCTGTTAAGGGGAGGGCAAGGACTGTGACCCAATTCTTGCCACTCACCCAGACTCCAGAAAGTATAATGGCTGTAATTGAGTTCAGGGGACTCCATGTTCAGTGTGGTGGAGAATAATTTTGAGAGATGGGGAAGTGGGAGCTGGGCTAGGGGGTCGTGGGTTGTAAAGAGTCATGCAGATGGTATTAAGGAACTTAGATACTTATAATTCTATATGCAGTTGGGATCCATGGAAAGGTTTTGTACCAGGTAGTGATGGGGTCACATATGTGATTGAGAAAGTCAACAGCAGGCACTATGGAGAAAAGCCTAGAGGGAGATGCTGGAAATGGTGATGTTGAACTTTACAAGGGTCCCCGGAGATGCAGAGAGGTCCGAGATGTCAGTGGGCTATGGGGGCATTGGAAAAAAAAATGTGTCTCTAGATGTAAGAGTTGAGTCCCAAAAGATGATGTGACAATGAGAGACCCAAATGGCCCCCAAGTCTCCTTCTTGTTGACATCATTTGTGATGTGCCACTTTTCGAGAGATAAATGATACCAAGGTGGGAGCAGGTTTGGGGGAAGGATGAGGCATTTAGTTTTGGATGTACTGAGCTTAAGGTGTCTGCAGAGTCCCTAGGGAGGGGGTGTGTGCAGGAGACTTCATATGGATCTAGGGCTTGGAGATGAGGCACATAGAGAGGCATGGAGGATGGGGTGTCACCAGCACATGGATGATTAATGAGAGCCTGGGCGGTGTGGGTGAGAGGCTTCCAAAAGAGCATGTGCCAAGTGAGAAGGGAAGAAACTGAGGCCTGAACCTTGGAGACACTCCCAGGTGGGGGAATGGACAGAGGGAAGGTGGACTGAACTTCCAGTTATCAGCCTTGGGGGAGCTGGTACATTATAGGCCAGCGTTTCTGAATGTTTTTGGGGGAATTGTAGTCATGTGAACACATGGCAATTTCTACCTCCCTCTGAGAGACCCAGAATATATACTCTTATAGTAAAGGCTCTGAAAAGTCCCTTGAGAAACTTGCTTCTCTGTTTCACCCTACAACTTCCCAAGTACACTTGTGCTTGAAATAATAGCCATGAATGTCCTGTGCCCCATTTGTTTTGTACCCAATCAGAAGCCCCTTTAGCTCATTTCCTGTTGCACCCATAGGAAAATCATTGCTGCAGCAGCTCAGGGCAGCACTGTGGGCATTTGGGTACGTGCTGGGTTAAGAGGTAGACACACGTGGATTTAGTCCATCACTTGCTCTGTATGAGACCTTGGGCAAATTACTTCTTTTCTTGGGCGTCAGTCTCTTCATCAGTGAGACAGAGATAAGAACCCTTTAAGTTCTGTGGCCAATGGTCCTATGATGCTGCCAGAGGTTCTAAGAAAACCACTGTGATTTGCCCAGGGCCACATGGCCAGAAAAGGCTTAATGTCCCCTGTATCACCCTGCCTTTGGTGGTCCTTTATCCCACACAGGACCAACTCTAAAACTGCCTTTGGGTTAAAATTCCAGAGAAATTCACATAGAAGGAATGACTGAATTGCTTGGTAGCAGTTCAGAATTACCCCAAATTCAAAAGACTCAAAACTTTTTTTTTTTTTTTTTTTCTATCCAGTAGTGGAAAGGGAAAAAGAATGCTCCTCTTTTGGGTCCAGGGGAAAGTCCTGTTCTCCTGGACAGGGCTGTGGGGAAAGGATGGGCAGTTAGAGGGAATGGGAACGGGAGGTGCGGCTCGGTGCCAGGGCTGTGGCTTCTTCACTGCTCCTCAGCTGGGCAGGTCCCACGGCCAGACACTCCTGAAGCTGGCACCATCACATCATTCTGAGGATCACTGGCTGGGCCCAGATCTCTCCCCATGGAGCTCCTAGGTCTGTCCTTGCCTGTTAATCACTTGTCATCACAGGCCACCCAGTGGAACTTCCCTCATCTGACTTTTGCAGGCCCGAGTTCAGCAAGCTGGCAAGAGGCAGCGGACAACATTCAGAATGAAATCTGTTTTCCTAACCCTCCTGTCACAGTCATTCATACCCAACACACTGAAGCATATTTTTAGTCACTTCGCAGAATTTAAAATACACCTCGAAGGCGCCAAGAAACACCAGCTTGGGGATTAACTCTGCTCACCAGAGACAGTGTATGTGTGGGGTGTCTCATGCTGCATTACCCTTTGGCTATGCCATGACTCACTGTGGCTGACACTTCAATAACTGCACCTGCTTGTAGCCATGGGGTCCAGAGCAGCCTGCAGTAGGATATAAGCTCTCAACTCTACAGGATAGCAGAGCCCTGGGTTAGCTCCAACCCTGCCACTAGCTGCATGTTCATGCAGAGGTCATTTCCATGCCCTGGGACCTGGCTGTAAAATGGGGAAAAAAATCTGGTTTCTGAGGGTCTGTCCAGTTCTAACATTGTGTCTTCGGCACTTTGTACAGGATTCTAATTTCAATCAAAATCCCAAAGAGATAATGGGGGAGAAAAAGGAAATCACAGCACATCCTAAAATGTGTCAGGGCAGTGATCGTGGCTCTGAACACAGGGGTTACTTGGCCACTATCCAGAGGAGACAGGACCATCCCTCCCTGGGAGAGAGCAATGACCCCTCACTTTCAGACCCTCTGACTCCCCTCCTCTTACCTAACCCCCAACAGAGAAATTGAGACCCAGAGAGAGGTAGGGGCCCTGTCCAGGATCATGCCACACACCACTGGGCTAGGACCCCAGTTTCCTGACTTCCCTTAATTGTTTTGTACCATCCCAGTGCACAGTTGGAAGTCTGAAGCCTGGGGAGGTGATACCTTCAGGAGAACAGGCCTCTATCCTTTTGTGTGTGTGTGTGTGTGTGTGTGTGTGTGTGTGTGTGTGTGTGCAGTACTGGGGATTGAACCCAAGGGTGCCTTATCACTGAACTACATTCCCAAACAATTTTTTTTAAAGGGTCTCACTAGGCCAGGCAGGGTGGAACACACCACTAATCCGAGCAGCTTGGGAAGCTGAGGCAGGAGGATTGTGAGTTCAAAGCCAGCCTCAGCAAAAGTGAGTGCTAAGCAACTCAGTAAAACCTTGTCTCTGTGGGCTGGGGATGTGGCTCAAGCGGTAGCGCGCTCGCCTGGAATGTGTGCGGCCCGGGTTCGATCCTCAGCACCACATACAAACAAAGATGTTGTGTCCGCCGAAAACTGAAATAAATAAATAAAT